CCGGCCGGGGACAGCGAAGGGCCCGGCCCAGAGGCGAGAGCTGAGCCGCGGGCTCCCCCGCCCGGTGCGCCCGCCCCGCCTCCACTGTCGCGGAGCACCGGGGCCTGAGCCGGACGGCCCCCTACCCTCCTGCCCCCTCAGCGGCACCTTAGGGTCACGGGGAGGTTTGGGCCCATTCTGGACAGTGATGCCCCACCCGAGTTTCCTGCACCCTGCACCGCCCAGGTCACCCAGGGGTGCCCCCTCCCCTTGAAGGGACTGCGCCTTCCCTGCTCCCCCCAGGCCTTCCCGCAGGGAGGGACCCTTCCTGACCTATCGGCCCTTTGGCTTCCTCCTTCGCCCTCCTACCCCACCCGGCGTGGCTCCGTCACCTGCATCTGCCATTGTCCCCAGCGCCCACCCCTCTGACTGGGTTTTCAGTGTCCCCGCCTGGCAAACCCAGGCACACACAGCCCTGCCCATCCGTCCCCTGCAGCCCTGCGCCATGGGCAGTGCCGATGGCCGCGGCGAGACCGCCGCCGCCCAGCCTGCTGGCTGTGCCCAGCCCTCTTCCCCTCCGCAGGCTCTTCAGGCCCCCGCCCCACTCCCATGCCCTCCTTCACAGGGAACACAGAGGCCAAGTGTTGCACAACCCAACCCCAAGCCCACTCGGGTACCCCCGCCCCGTCCACAGCTGCCAGAGGCTGGGCCCCTCCTGCCGCCTCCCTGCCTCTTGCCCTGGCTCCCCATGCCTCCATTCCCAATCTTTTCCTCTCTAGCGGTCCTTGCCGTCAGGGTTACGCTCACTTTCTCTCACCTTAAGACACTCTACAAAACTGCCCTGGAAGATGTTAGCCCAGCCAGTTGCCACCCTGGCTTTTCTTGCCTCACAGGAGTTTCTCTAACGCACCACCTGCCTGCCGTGGCCGGGTTCTGGCTCTCCAGGGGACCCCCCGTAGGCGAGCGGCTCCCAGCACCCAGCCCACCCACCACTCTCCAGAGGAAGCTCCTCCAGCGGAGGATGAATGAAGGAACCCCTGGGTCCCCTCAGAGGGCACACGACATTATAGACAAGTGCCATGAGATAGACATGCTTGCTGTGCAGGGGGAGGCGAGGTCGCAGAGGGGGGCCTCTAATCCAGTTGGCAAAATAAGCAGCCCGAGGCCAGAGGACACCCCCGGTGGGTTTTCGGGGAGATGAGACCTTGGGCCCATGATGGCAGCAGGTGTCCCAAAGGGAAGAATGCAGTGAGCCCTGGGCCCACAACCTCACTGAGACACACCTGCATCTCCCAGGTTGAAAACTCGTGGAGCCCTGGCAGGTGTGGCCCGGTTGGTTGGGCGTCTCCCGCTGAGTCCCTGCGGATTCCTTGTTGGGGCACGCCTGGGCTGTGGGGGCCGTAGGGGGTGTGTAGGAAGCAGCCTATCGACTCATCAATGTTTCTCTCTCCCTCTCTCTGTGACATTAATGAAAACACTTAAAAAACAAAACACATCGTGGAGACCGAATTTCCTTCATCGGTGGGGTGAGTAACGTGATCACATTTTGTTTTGGAAGGACGGCTCTGGCAGGAGTGTGGAAGAGAGATTGAGGCCAGGAGTGGGGAGGCTGGTGAGAGAAGCTGCAGAAGGGTGCTCCCGGGTGCTCTGCCCCCCTTCTCTGCCTGTTCCTTCACAGTTGTGCTCCCCAGGTCCTCCGAGGTCCCTTCCCTACCTCTCCTGTCCTCTCTGCACTCTCCTTAGGCAATGCTCACACGCCCCTGGCCTCCTTGGGTTTCCCTGTCTGCCCCCTCTTCAGCCCCAGGCCTGTGAGGCTGGAGGTCAGCCAGACACACCTCCGCAGGGATGGCCCCAGGCAGCTAACCTTCCTTTCTTTCCAGAGACTCCCTTCCCCACCCAGTTTCTCTCTGACCCGGTCCACTCTGTTCCCACTTCCCCCTGCCCCCAGACCCCCAGCATCCACCAACCTGCAACCCAGGTACATGCCCTTGACCGGGAATTGAACCTGTGACCCTTTGATCTGCAGGCCAGCGCTCTTAACTACTGAGCCATGTGGAACAGGGCTCCACTTGTGGGTTCCTTCATCCAGCAAATGCTTGCTGAGCTCCCATGGTGTGCGCAGCAGGAGGGATAGAGAGTGAGCAGGGCATTCATGATGGGCCTGACCGATGGAAGACTGGACAAGGACTGACTCCGAGATGCTCAGTCATCCGAGGAAGGGGTGACGGATCACTGTCCCCTCAGAGTGGCTAACAAAGAACCGCCAACACCAAGTCCATTGTGGGTGGACAGTGGGTTGGAGGATAGTTTGGCACTGACTGTTTACACAAACACAGGCTCACCCTCAGCCAGAATTTCCACTTCTAGGAGCATGTCCTACGGAGACACATCTGTAAGCTCACAGCATAAGGGTGCTCCTGGAGATTGCCTAAATTACTCCATAATAAGGATCGATTAAGTCAGTCACAGAAGGCCTACACATTGGCGCAGGGCCAACAGTGAGAGAGTCGGGAGGGATCTATGCTTACGTGCATTCTTAGCTACAAGCACATATGTGGGTATGTGACACACACATAAGCCTGGTGTACAAGAGAAAGTCAGGAATGGGGGGGCATCCATCCAGACGTAGTAGAGAAGCCCACAGTGGGTGGCAGTGGGGGGGTCTCACTCCTGTTTAAATTTCTTACAAAAACCACTTAGTACTTCAGTAATGAGGGGAAAGGTGCAGACTTTTAGGAGTACAGGGGCTAGGGGATCTTGAGGGATCTTGAAACTGGCTCTGCGAGGAACTGAATACCCGCCTGCTGTGTTCTCCGGTAGACGCTGGCCAGCACCCCCCCCCCCCC